CCTGAGGAGGCCAGGGGGCAGGACACCCTGGTTGAGAAAGACTGTATTACTGCATGAAGTTCCCTTGATTGATATCATGCATTGTAATCATTAACTGCTCGATCCGTGAAAATATTTACATACTGGCACATTACCGTCTCATGTTTACAATCGCCTTTTTCTCCTTTGTTTATGTATGTATTCATGCTCACGATCCCAAGACATCTAATAACTGCCTTGCTGAAGTGACTTTTCCATTGTGTGTCAAAACAAGCAGCGTAACGCACTTGGGGTCAGACTTTGAGTTTGAGATGAAAGGGTCTCTTTGCAGCAGTTATAATGAGTTCTTTGTTTACAGCACATTCAATTAACACAGATATGCTTCTCACTGGAAAACCAAGTTTACTGCAACAAAAATCCAAAGTATGCTTCCTAGACCATCTAAAGTGAGTATATTTCGCTTTTTAGGCCTCGTCCACAGAGGCGGCAAAGGGGCTGTAAGAACAGATGGTTTGATTTGCATGTTTACCCCCCCCCCCCCCCGACAGCCCCCCTACAATTTTACATGGCTGCCGCTTGGCATGGTATACGTGGTCATGGCATCTCAGAGATGTGAAGATAGGTCACCAGCACTCCAAAGTGCAAAGAAAATATTGTTTATTGCAAATAACTTCACATAGGTCATAATAGCCAACGCTTCTAGGCCATGCAGGTTCTCTTCCTCAAGGTGAGACAGTGACAGGAGGGGACCCTGTGCAGCCCCCAAAACGTTGGCTATTTTCTGAGGTTGCTTGGCGGTCACTACGAGCACCTATCTTATCTATACTGGTCACAATGCTGTATGGTGTGCAGCAGGCACTTTCAACAATGTTCACAGCATGTTGTGTTTGGGAGGCTGTGACGCTTGCCAAATGCATCTATGGGACTATGCTACGACTATGGTGGTGCGGCATTTCAGATTTTAAAAAAAGAAGACATTCAAGGAACAGCAGTATCACCTCCTGAACTCATGTGAGCCGCCTCTGAATAGCATTTCACTGTAGATGACTGTACTGAGGTGTGTATACCTGCTTCCCTTGTAAGCAAGACCATGTGATCAAATTAGTCATAGCACAGTCACAAGGAAAATTGTACGTCACTGCATGTGCCTATGTACTATAAAAAACAATGAGGTGGTGGGAGTGGTCTCTTCTTATAGTGTGCAAGTATTCAAGAAAACACTTACCTCTCAGTGTGCCGTCCTCCAGCGAAGAGAGATGCAGGTTCCAGTCACCAGCTGTCTCCACCATCTTCCTTGCTACTATATGGCCCCTTGCACTGGCCCTCTTCTTGGCATACAGAGAATGATCCGTGATGTACACTATACAACTCATGCTCCCTGCAGTGTACACAGGGATTCCAAAGAATCAATAGAAACATGGAGCAACAAAAAACACGTTTTTGAGGAGCGCGACTACCTATGATAAGAGTAATGGCCCAATGTGCTGAACTTGGAAAAATGTATAACAGTGTGCAATACAGACAACCAAAACTGATTAGTCATATAAAAGGGGACAAATTGATGACTTACAGTTGGGATGTGAGCCTATATGCCCTGGTGTCTCTCACAGAATGTTCTCCACAGTCTGTTTAATGCGATGTCCACAGCTAGCAGGTGGGAAGAGAGTAGGTGTCTGCCCGGACCGGAGTGGGAAAACGAGGTGTCAGCCGATGTCACAAACTCAGCTGGCCAGGCTGAGCCGCGGCGGCTTAGACGGGAAAGCAGTGAGCCGCGATCAACTCCGTAGCGCCGGACTCTATGCGTGTGGTTACAGTACTAGATGTGGCTGTCAGCGGGCTGTCAGCGGAGTGCACAAAGATGGACCTGTGCGTGGGACAGTGAGGGATCTGTACGGGGGGATGGATCTTGCTGCCTGCAGGATACGGCTACGCGTTTCGAGGAGATTTCCTCTTTGTCAAGCCACAGAAAGTTACTAGTCAAAAACGTGTTTTTACTAGTTACTAGTCGTAACTTTCTGTGGCTTGACAAAGAGGAAATCTCCTCGAAACGCGTAGCCGTATCCTGCAGGCAGCAAGATCCATCCCCCCGTACAGATCCCTCACTGTCCCACGCACAGGTCCATCTTTGTGCACTCCGCTGACAGCCCGCTGACAGGTGTAAGGGCAGCGTGCAACCGCATCTACTGTACGGTCGCACGACTTTCGTCTTCCTAGCACGCTTGGCAGCGTGCTCAGAAGACAAAAGCTGCACGGGTCGGTGTGCGCACACTGGCCGCTCAGCACTGCAATCATCGGAAGCCCTCCATGCTGATGATCACAAGTACGATCTGCCTGTCCAAGAGGGGCAGTTCGTGCGATGGTTGTAAGGTGTATGGCCAGCTGCAGTCTATGGTCAGCCGTGTGTAAAAGAACGGGTGTCCATTTACCGTATATACTCGAGTATAAGCCGTCCCGAATATAAGCCGAGGTACCTAATTTTACCACAAAAAACTGGGAAAAAGTATTGACCCGAATATACGTTACCCCCGGCTCCCGCCAATTTTGGAAAAACAAATGTTCCGTGACCTAATCATGCCAGATCGGGGTTAATGTGATGTTAACGGACACAAGTCTGTTTACATCCGATTCCCCATAGACCCACATTGGGTCCGGTCACTTCAGTTTTTTTCATCCATCGCAAGGAAAAAATTGATTTGTACCCTGATGTCACAGCAGTGGCGGACCTAAGGAATAAAGGGCCCTGGTGCAAGATCTCACTGGCCTCCCAACCCCCCTGGTGGTCTCTGCACCAGAGGATCTTACAGTCTAATGGACTTAGGAACGCACTGGACTCAGGACCTACAGAGCCCACCAGAGATCCTGCACAGCGCACAGAGACTCATTATGGTGGGCTCTGCAGGGCCTCAGGTGGGCTTTCTATGCCGCTGGCCCGGCGCTGCTCCACCGCCAGACTGGCGCTGCTGGGGCCCAGCCCCCTCCACTGCCAGTGGGCCTCCCAAGCCTTGGGGCAGCCGCACCGACTGCACCACCGGTAGTTCCGCCCATGTGTCACAGTGGTAACATCCGGTCTGTACTGCTCTGATCAGGAGGGGATCCATGCACAGATCCCCTCCTGATCAGCCCATATGAAAGGGTTTTTCTTAAATATCCATTTACTGTACATTTCTTGGTGCTTTTATATGCGTTTTTAATGGTTCTCTAAACGCATCTAATAATTTCCAATGGATCCATTCACACATTGCGTTTAGATTCTTTCAGATGTAGTCAGTTTAGCTGCGTTTAGAAAAAACGTGTCCAAGAAACAATTTTAGCTTCTGAACGCACCAAAATGCTATTGAACGCATGTAAACACAAAATGTGTCTATTTGCTAAAATCTCATTGGCTACTTTAATAGGGTGTTTCAACGTTAAGCATCTAGAATCATAAAAAAACATCTAGCCTTCAGATTTTGCTGACAGATCTCTGTATAAAAATGCAAGTGGACAGTGTGAATAAAGGCCTTACTCTTCTTACTGCTGGTACTGTGGCTTGCCCCTCCCTGCTCTTGGGACCAACTGTTGGATGCATGGTCCCATTTTGAAAATGATTCTTACTGCTGGTACAGTGGGCTCCCGCTCTCCGCTCATAGGACCAAATCATTTTCATGCATGGTCTCATTTTGAAAATGATTCTTACTTTTCTTACTGCTGGTACAGTGGGCTCCCCCTCTCCGCTCATAGGACCAACTGTTGGATGCATGGTCCCATTTTGAAAATGATTCTTAGGCTGGGTTCACACCTAGGCGTATCGAATATGCGCGTGTGCCATGCGTTTTTTTTACCGTGGTTCGCGGTAAAAAAAACGCACGACAAACACGTGTTTCCGAGGGCTACCTGGCTGTATCCCAATGGATACACGCGGCAAATACGCCCCAAAGAAGCTCCTGTACTTCTTTGGGCGTAGGACGTTTTGTAGCACGTTCATACGGCCTGTAATACGCCCAGGTGTGAACCATACCCATAGGAAATAATGTGATTTCGGTGTTTTGCAGAGCGTAGGAATGCACTACAAAACGCCCAGGTGTGTACCGGGCCTTACTGCTGGTACAGTGGGCTCCCCCTCTCCGCTCATAGGACCAACTGTTGGATGCATGGTCCCATTTTGAAAATGATTCTTACTGCTGGTACAGTGGGCTCCCGCTCTCCGCTCATAGGACCAAATCATTTTCATGCATGGTCTCATTTTGAAAATGATTCTTACTTTTCTTACTGCTGGTACAGGGGGCTCCCCCTCTCCGCTCATAGGACCAACCGTTGGATGCATGGTTCCAATTTTGAAAATGACTCTTACTGCTGGTACAGTGGGCTCCCCCTCTCTGTGGATGCACGGCTCCAGCTCCTCACGGACAAGCACAGGTGTCGCTGACAGTTCTGCGCAGGCTTGGATGAACTTGCTTTACACCAAGCCCCCCGAACCCCCCTATTCCACAACACAAGAAATCCAGAAGTAGATGCTTGACAACATCCACAACAAGGATGTCACTGCACAAAATCCATCCTCGTTGGCATGACACATGAAAACTCAGAGTAACGCACCATAACACACTGCAAACATGTAGCCAGCACATGGTAAAAATGCACAAATAAGCAGACTCCCATAGACAAGCCTTACAGTAAAAGAAGGGATCAATCCTTGCAGTGTGCTGCACTGTGTCACTGCCACATAACTCCATATAAAAGAGCTCAACTACTACAACAATGGCAGCCCCACTTCTGTGATGTAGTATAAGGGTGGGGCAGAAACTAGACATTTTTCTCCCAAATCCAGCACTTACTTCTACACCTAGTGCGAAGGGAATATCCAGAGGTAGTCTGTAATGTTACTTTAAACTTCCTGCATTGACATTCACTGGTAACGAATCATCCCCTACCCCTGATGATGATTGTGATGAATCACAATGCACACTTCCTGTCTAATCTGACGTTTTCCTCTCCTTCTATGTCCCCCCTTAGCTCTGGCAGTGAACGATCATTCCCCTTACCTGTGATCGGTGCTGGGTTCTAGTTGCTGTCTTGCTCTGTGTCGTGTGTGTGCGGATCTCCGATGTGTGTACAGACGATGTGATGTGAACACCCAGCACAACCTTGTGATCACTTGTTGTACACTACAAGTAGGAAGTGGACACAGCCTGCCGTTAAAGTGGTAGAGCGAGTTTTCTGCCTGTGCTTATCACAGCTCAGCCTGATCTATGGAAACGTTGTATCTAAGCACAGAGCAAGGGAAACTTCCAGAGCCAAAAAGAAACAATCTGTGACTTCAAGACGAAGGCCTCATTCACACACTACGCAAGCAAAACTGTATATTGCGTATATACGCTTCTATGCGTGCACTATATGCAATCCCAGAATGCATAACTCGTAATGGAATTTTAATGCGCTGTGCGCGCGTATCTGCACGTACATACGCGGAGATACGCTGCCCGGACACATCTCTGTTCAATTCTGTTTTTGCGCAAATATACGGCTCCATACGCGGCTGTGTGTATGGAGCCATTTAGTTGCATATGGTACAATACGTACGTACGTGCGTATATGCGCGGCAGTGTGAATGAGTCCCCTTGGGCTCCATTCACACATGAGCAAAATCGCACGGATACGCACGGAACCGCTCTAAACATAAAAAACGATGCATTTTAATGTGCATCGTTCAGACAATCGCGGGGACCATGCGGTACAAAAACGTGCTTCCCGCAAAATAGCCCAAGCTCGATTTCAGGGGCGGATTCCGCATGTTTCTGTGCTGTGCAGTACAAATAGGGTTGCCACCTGCCCCAGATTCACCTGGACGTTCCGGATTTTAAGTCCTGTATGTGCTGTGTCTGGGTTTCAGCTGGCCTGGAAACAGCACATACAGAACTCAAAACCTGGACAGGTGACAACCCTAGGTACAAAAGAGGCTGCAGGGACTGGGCTAGCAGCCTGGAGGGAGGCGGTGGGACAAAGGATCAGGCTATATCTGCTTTATTTAAGCCCCTAGACCAGGGGTGGGCAAACTCCAGCTGTGTTGAAACTTCAAATCCCATAATGCATCTGTCTCTGGGAGCAGAACCATCCCGATAATGAGGCAGCCTAAGGCGGCATCCCAGCAGCTGGGTGGTGCCCAAGGGAGCGGCCGAGTGGTAGTGGGTTGGGGAGTGGCTTGGTGTTGGGGGGTGGCAGACAAGGTTGCTAAGAGCCCTGCTTCCCACCTAGCTCCAGGCATCTAGTGACATCATTTATTTATTACAGGTATTTATAAAGCGCCGACAATTTACGCAGCACTTTACATAGTGGCACATTCACATCATTCCCTGATCTCAAGGAGCTTACAATCTAAGGTCCCTATTTCACATGCATACAGGGCCAATTTAGACAGGAGACAACTAACCTTCCAGCATGTCAGTGAGCCAGGGGCATATCTGCCGCAAGGCAAACAAGGCGTTTGCCTCGGGCGGCAGATTCCAGCAGGGCGGCAAATGTACCGGCCCGCGAGCAGCTACACGGTCTGCATCTCTGTGGGATGCAGACCGTGTAGCTGAGTCTGCGCCGGCACCGGATCGATTGGGAAGGTCTGCACTGCAGCAGACCCTACCAATCGACTACCGATCACCGGGACCAACGTGCCGCCTCACAGCCTCCTCCCTGCAACAAGGTAAGCAGGAGAGGGGGCTCTGAATTGTATTTTAGGGGTGGGGGGTGTAGAATGTGCATTCCAACAGGGGGGTAAAATTGTATTTTAGGTGAGGGGTACACACGGACTGGGGTTGTAAAATATATATATATAGTGTAATGTAAATGGGTAAGCCGTAGTTATATATATATATAGTGTGTGTGGGGGTATTGCAGAAGTGTATTAGGCTACATTCACGCCTCTTTCTTTAGGTGCAATTATAGATTTCTGCGTCAGGAACTTGCGTTTTCCTGCAGCAGAAATCCCTGAATTGGCTTTTACAGGTGGCAGCTGTCACCTAAGTTAATGATCATGTGACCGCAGTTGCATGTAAACGCCTGCACACCGCATGTAAAGATACGTGTTATGTTTACATTCGATTAGGAATCAATCACTCTCCCTGGACGCAATGATTGTGCATTCAGGGAGAGTGTTTTCTAACCGCTTGTAATATCACATACCATTACATGCGGTGTGCAGGCGTTTACATGCAACTGCGGTCACATGATCATTAACTTAGGTGACAGCTGCCACCTGTAAACGCCAATTCAGGGATTCCTAATGCAGTAAAACTCAAGTTTCTGATGCAGGAATCCCTAATCGCACCTAAACCTACATATTATAAAAGGGGCCTTATTGTGAGTGTATATTAGTGTCTGTAGTACCAAACCGGATATAGTTATATGGACTGTGCTGGCAGAGCCCAGCACAGATTCTGCACCACAGCCCACCAAAGACTTTGGAGTCTGCAAAGTCCAGTACAGATCCTGCACAACCCCCCTGAGATCCTGCAGACTGCAGGGTGTCAGGGGGTCTCTGCAGGGTCTGTGGGGGGATTTGCCGGGTCTCAGGGGGGCTTTGCAGGATCTATAGGGGGCCCTGCAGCCTGCAAAGCCCACCACAGATCCTGCACAACCCCCCTGAGATGCTGCAGACTGCAAGAAGGGGTTAAAAAGTAAGCTTCAGGCTAGGGGACCTTGCGGTCCGTGGAGTGATCGATGTGGCTACGCGTTTCAAGGCTCTGTACCTCTTTGTCAAGCCAGAAGTAGTTCTGAGATCGTGCACGGGCAGAAGTAGTTCTTCTGTCTTGCGATGGTTGTAAGGTAATTAAAAAAACGTACGATCTGCCCATCTTGGACAGGCAGATCGTACTTGCGATCAGCGCAAGCCCACCCCCCTGAGCGGGCTTTCGATGACCGCAATGCTGAATGTGCAGTGTGCGCTTACGCACACCGGCCCGTGCGGCAGTTATCTCATGATTATGCTACAAACCAGCCAAAAATCATACGATTCTCGGCTGGTTTTCGAGCATGCTAGAAAGACAAAAGTCGTGCGACTGTACAGTAGAAACGGTCGCAAGCCTTCCACACACCTTGCGATAATCATACGATCGCGGGATTTCACACGATTATCGCAAGGTGTGTGGGCACCTGGCCCCATTCACACTGAGCGACATGAAAATCGTGCGATATTATATGAGCGATATTGTCTTGTCCCTATTGGGCTGTATGCAATCAGGAGCAAAATTGCTCCAAAAAAGGGTCATGTAGGAGCGACAAGCTACAGCGACGAGCTACAAAGGCTGCCATGTTTGTAAGTTTAAAGTCGTGCAACCTTACAGTAGTAGAGGTCGCACGGCTTCCACACACCATGCGATAATAGTGCGATCGCGATCGTACGATTATCATAAGGTGTGTGGGGACCTTTAGGCTGTTAACTCGTTTTGCTAGAGAGAGATTGAACTGCTTGTCGGCAGTCACCTCATGTGCAGAATACTGAAGCCAATGTGATGCTAATGAGATACCTGTCAACAAGCCAAAACCATGGCAACCATTCAGACTTCCGCCTTTCAATGAAGAAAACTTCATTGATTGCTGTAAGAACCTGCCTGCATACACCGCCGTCAACTTTCTTTTACTTCTAAAACCTAGTCATGTTTAAAAAAAATAAAAAGTTGTTTTTCTTACTTGCGACAAGTAAGAAAAACAAATCATCCCTAAACACTGCCCACCCTGACAATGGCTGGAGAAAACCTACCCTGCAGTGTTCATTTTCATTGTATATGACAGGGGTAGACAATTTCAGCTGTGGTGAAACTACAATTCCCAGCATGCCTATCCTTCTGGAAATCATGCCTTTGACTCTCAGAGTCTGGCAATGCATTATGGGACTTGTAGTTACACAAGATCTGGTGTGCTGAGGTTGCCTATCCCTCGTATATGATTTTCTTTTATTCCTGTGTAATTGTTTAGCTGGAGAGGTAGTAGGTAGAGTAGGGTTACACTGCTGATCTCTGTGTTTTAACCCTTTTGCTGCCAGGCCCTGTGCTCACTTTAAGCCTCAGGTGACCATTTTTTCAATATTTCAATTTTTTTATAATTTCTTACTAAGGCCTTGTTCACATGGCCGGCCAATAAACAGTAAAACAGGCGGTTGATCCACGTTTTAACACTCTCTGGCAGTTAGCACTGCAGCTGGACAGTGCTGTACACATTGCTGCAGCCGTGATGCTTGCGTTGTGGCAAAACATAGACCGAATGTCTCTCTCAGCAGGCATTGCCGGCCCGAATGCCAAACATGGCCATCACTGTTAATGGGACCGTGCCATGACAAACCCATGGCACACAGATGTGGCGCAGCAGTTCCATGTAAAATCCCCCATGGGACAGTGTCGCCTCTTGAACGTCTGGAGGCCGCTGCTCTATGATCCACCATGGATTGCTTTTTAGAGGGACAGGAAAAAGACCAAAACTCAGGGGAACAAGGCCTTAGAACTTTCAGAGTTTGTAAAAGACCTCCAAAGCACACATTTTCTAAAAGCATAGTGCTACTGATTTTATAGGTCCTGTGATAGTTGCTTAAATGCTTATTTATATATTATTTATTTTAGGAATACACCGATACTGCTATTGGTGTCGATACTGAGCATTTGGGCGTGTACTTGTACTCGTCCAAATGCTGCGATACTTGCCCCAATACCGCAAGCGAGCATGGAGCCGCCACCCGGGCCAAATAGGAAGCTGAGCGGCGGTTCATGACACATCTCCCAGCTTCCTGATTGGTTGGGAAGCCGACTTTATGCTGCCTAGCAAAACAGATTGGTCTGGAAGCCAGGCTGCCCCGCAGGAAGCCGGGCAGCAGGTCATGACTGCTTCCTGATTGGCCGGGATGCCAGGCCCACACTACCTCGGGATGTCGGTATCGGTACGGCGAGTACCAATAAAAAAAATGATGGTACTCGTACTCGATACCAAAAAAACTTTTTTGGTGCATCCCTAGTTTATTCACTTATTATTGGTATTTATACAGTGCTGACAATTTACACAGCGCTTTACATAATGCACATTCATATTAGTCCTTTCCAT